TGTCTGGGTGCGAGCGATTAACACAAGGAGAAGACAGCAAGGGGCTTTTTACAATCTTTTTCAAGAAATAAAACAGATCAGCAAATGTTCCATAAGTATACAAGTATGACACTGCCAACATTCGAGCACTTGATGGACATTGTTAATCCAAGCTTAACGAAACGAAGTCCACGGGCACTTGAACCAGAGCAACGAGTTGCTTTGACATTGCGGTATATGTTCAGATCACTAACAATATGTGTAAAAACATTTTATAATTAAAACAATTAAACTTCTTTATTTTCAACTTAACTGACAAATGATATAAAGGGTTCACAACGAACCTTTTATATCATTTGTCAGTTAAGTCGAAAATAAAGAGGTTTAATTATTGTATTTATACACTAACGAAAAAATTACCTCTTATTGAATTTATAATTAATATCATATTATTGATAATGATGTTACAGATTTTTAATTGGAGACAAAGTTCCAGCAATTGCTTTTGCCTATCGTGTTGGTCTATCAACCGTACATAAAATAGTTAAAGAGACATGTGACGTATTTGGAAGACTTCTTGATCCTATCTATCTACGACCTCCTTCGAGAGAAGAATATTTACAAATTGCTGAAGGTTTTTGGAAATTATGGAATTTTCCATATTGCTTGGGGGTAATTGATGGAAAACACGTCGATGCTCAATGCCCCCCCAATTCTGGTTTTTTGTATTTTAATTATCACAAACGATACAGTATCGTGCTTATGGCTGTGTGTGATCACAACTATAAATTCACTTTAGTCGATATTGGGTCTATGGGGAAGAACAGTGATGCGGGAATTTATGGAAACAGTGACTTGAATGTAGACAATGGGATGCTGGATATTCCAAAAGGAACTAGTTGCTTAAGCGGAACCGATATACAAGTGCCTTATTTTTTTATTGGGGATGAAGCATTTCCCATTGGAAAGCATTTGATGCGGCCATATTCTGGACGGTATCTGGGAGAATGCAAAAATATATTCAATTATAGACTTTCGCGAGCTCGGCGTATAATAGAAAATACGTTT